AAAAAAAAAAAAAAAAAAAAAAAAACTGTGCGAGGAATGAGCCCACGTGGGGACCTTATCAAACATGTGCGAGGACGTAGACCCTCTGCAGTGTTCTAAAAGGCCATGCCCGCCCAAAGTGAAGGCGAGCCTGCTAATGTGTGTCAATGCCTGCGTACAGGCCTATGACAGCAGGCCAAGCAGAGCCTGTTGCAACCCCTACGTGTGCATGAACCTTCGAAGAGGCCTTTCAGCCAGCTTAAGCCCGCCCTAAGTGAAGGCAGGCCCCTGAATTTCAATATGGCCTAAGTTCGTCTATCTTGGCAAAGTTTGGTTCTCTTCCAGCCTAACAGGTGAAGCAGGGAGAACCTCACGTTTACTCCTGGGTGGTTTGCAAAGATCCTGACACTATTGCACTTGCAAAGTAACATGCAATTGAGAGCAATTAAATAAAGCTCACATGGGCTTGAGATATGGCCATGCACAGTGCAAATTCGAAGTTCCACTCAGATACAGTAATATACAATTAAAAAATCCGGAATTCGGCAGTAGCAACTGCTGAAACAACGCCCAGTCCGCTGCTTTTCTCTTAGTTTCTCTCTCTCTGTCTCCCCTCTCTGTGAGGAACAAGCCCTCAAGGGGCCCTATCAGACATCTCATGTTCTGGGCTAAGGCCCCCAGCAAGCCGACTGCCCGCCCTAAGTGAAGGCGGGCCTGAATATTCGTCAGAGGCCAAATTCGACATTTCCATATGTGGGTATTCAGGCTCTCGCAGCACGCCAGTTGGTTGGGTAGACACGTGAGCCTCACTAAGCTGCGACATACAGTTGGCCCAGGTCTTGACAGTTGTGCCTGGGCACATACACACAAAGCAGGGCCGATACATTTGGAAAAGCAGTACTGCCTACACACCTGCCTGGGAGCCCTGCACAGATGCAGCAAACAGCCCAAGTCCGGAGATTCAGGCTGTGCATAACTGAAAAGGGCCCAGACCCTCAACTGTAGTCTCGGGCCTGGGCACAGGGTCTGAGGCCCAACCGGAAGCTACTGGAAGCTTCCAGCCAGGCCACACGCAGCATCCAGGAGGCTGCCACTTCCATAAAAGAAGTGAGGCAGCCCAGGCCAGGCATTCTGGCCAGTGCTGGCAATGCGGAAGTGCTGCTGCGCTCTCGCTTGATGCTGCGCTGCTGCCAAAGGTGCTGACGGGGGGCGTAGTGATGAGGAGGGGCGCTGCAGGGCAGCGAGGCAGCCATAGCCGGGCTGCTGGGCGCCAGGGGGTGCAGCGGGCGATCTGGTGGTCTTCAGGGAAGGACGCGAGTGTGGGGTAATCAAGGTCTGATTGAGGGTGACGAGATACGTACCTGGTGCATGAAGAGAGGTTGGCTATGGAATTGACAGTCATGTACATTGGTCTTCGAGAGTTGAAGTGAGCCTGTTGCGTGAACCAGCTGTAGGTAGGATAGTCGGGCAGAGTATGTTGGGGCGCTGGGCGCCAGACAGAGAGGAGCAACTTTGGATACTGTGTTGGTGTGGCCTACGGGCTTGAACATTGGCTCATTACTTCATTGTTTTGCTCTATATGGATGGTTTCTCGATGCATTTTGCACTCTCTCTGCTTGGATACTACCTGGACATCTGTGTGATTTCGCAACTTGGTTTTCTGTATATCATTCACACTCATATTCCTTGCAATTTGGTATCGGAGCTGGTTCGTGATCGCCGCTTACCTGGCACCGGCGACATTGTTACTTGGTGCGCTGACGATGCTTCATGTGCAGTAAGGATACTTTGACGCTGGTTTGTTGTAGCGGGACCTAGGTGGAGAGGCCGGCTGCTGGAAGGCTGTGGTGACAGCGTGGGAGCTGTGGCGATAGCGGATGTATGTATGATGATGAGAGTATGATGACATGGCATTTTGTGTGAGGTGGCACTGCATTGCGTTGTGGGTGGTACCGAGGCTAATGACCGGTCATCGAAATGCACATCGGCCCAATTGGTGAGAAATCTGTGGTTGGGGGCAGCTATCTCCAGGTACGTTGTTCCCATTCCTTATCTACCCTCTCAATCTCTTCTTACCGTGAGCAAGTGAGTCCAGTGTCCTCTCTTTTGAAAGGAGTCGTGTGCGCTCTCTCTTGAGAGACGACATTGTTCCCGGTGGCGCATCTGGCAGGAGAGGGCGGTGCCTCTTAAGGGCCCTGGTCGAAGCACGGGTCACGATCACCATGCCAACCCATGGGAGTAGTACACGCAGGCCACGCTGCTTTGTCCATTGAGGCTCTTTGCTGCAGACTGACCAGTCCTACGGAGACGCTCCCAGACCGTCTATAAACATTTCTGGTCGAGGTCTGAACTGTCCAATGGCTGTGATTGTCGTCCTGATTGCGACGTTAAAGAATTCCTAGGACTCTTGGGGGCTGTCCTTAAATTGCCTCTTGATCAGCCAGATCAGTCCGACGTAAGGCTCGTTGCACGAGAGGGTAAAAAAAGGGCAGGACTGGTCATAAGCATACTTCTTGGGCACAGGGGTGGGCCGTGGTTGCACACCTTAGACACTGCCGCTTGATGATGCTCACAGGTACGTTGGATACAGGGGAAGGGGATTCCAATTGTGAACTCTACTATGCATCACTATCGTATCCATTGTGCATGCTCACAATACTCTATTTTTATTTTGATTAGTTGGTTAACAGACTGCTGACACCTGACAGACATCCTAGAGTAGGACTGTAATCTACCATAGTAATTCTTCTCGAAGCTTAAGTGCAAAACTAATAAGGATAGATTTAGACTATGTGTACAGTTTGTGTAGGTGCTGTTGATGACGCTTGACTGGTAGTCTGGGTAACTCCCCGGACATTATTTTTATTTTTATTTTTAGAACCGGTCAGACGTATGCTGCGGTAGGTCCCAGAGAGGACTCTAGTGCAGACAGCGTCTGCCTAGTCGATGAGTGGATCAGCCGGGGATGAAGGTACAGCTGACGCTAGGGATCAGCTGCGAATGAAGGTACAACTGACGCTAAGAGGTTAACAAGG